GATTTATGCTTCCACCTTCCAAGCATGTGGCTACTCTAGGCATAGCAGGTGACCAGAGGATTGCTCAAATGTAGACAACCAGACAAAGTATCAGGCGAAAAGATACCAAAGTGAATGGAAGAAAGAAAAAAGGGTAGAAAGAAAAATGGCTTAACAACCATGATTTCACCATAAAATGCTGCGACTTTTAGAAACTGAACAGTGACTTTGTTTTAGCAAACTCGGAAGCATGCGCCATGTATAACAAAACTTGGTGATCATCGCAAGTACTATCGGTCATACGACACAACATCCAAGACACTGTATTGATGTAAAAAAACGTTCGTGCAGTGGAAACAACGAGTCGAGAAAAAAATCACAGACAGACAGACAGACAGACAGACAGACAGACAGACAGACAGACAGACAGACAGACAGACAGACAGACAGACAGATAGACAGACGATGGACAGACAGACAGGCCGACAGACAGACAGACAGACAGACAGACAGACAGGCAGACAGGCAGACAGGCAGGCCGGCCGACAGGCAGGCAGGCAGGCAGGCAGGCAGGCAGGCAGGCAGGCACGCAGGCAGGCCGGCCGGCAAGCAGGCTGGCAGGCACACAGACAGGCAGGCAGGTAGGCAGGCAGGCAGGCAGATAGATAGATAGATAGATAGATAGATAGATAGATAGATAGATAGATAGATAGATAGATAGATAGATAGATAGATTGATTGATAGATAGATAGATAGATAGATAGGTAGATAGATAGATAGATAGATAGATAGATTGATTGATAGATTGATAGATTGATTGATTGATTGATTGATTGATTGATTGATTGATTGAGTAATATGCTCAACGTCTCCGATGTTCCCTCATAAATGCTCCGCATTTAAAATCACACCAAAGACAGCTTCTTTTACACACTCCTAATCTTCTGCAAAGCATGGCTTTCACAGGTTTCGAAGTTCACCATAACTGAACAAGATATATTAATGAACGGGAAAAATAAGGATGAGCAGTTGGTAAAACTTTGTAGAATAGCTAAACGTAGACAATCACTGAAAATTTTAGAATTGTGACAGAGTGAGTTTATATAGGTGAACGCAAACCTCGGAACTCCAAGGTCATATTGACGGCTCTCCGTAGGATCGTGTCACGGATGCCTGCCAAACGTATACCATTCAGCAAAAACAAACTGAAGCAAGATTCCATCAATACACAAACGTATGCTTTTCCCGTGGCAAACGGCTAGTTATTTTGAGACCAGAATTCTTTCGAATTCCGATTATACACATTAGCGACACTCACTCATACGATTGCTCCTCCTGAGAATCAGCAATCGACCACACAAAACATAAGCGCTAAAATGTTCGGAATCACGTGTCACCGACCACGCTCCGGGAAGCAGTGACGTTCGAAGCACTCATATAGAGACAAATACATCCTTTTACTCAAACAGAAGAGCCTTTCAACCGCCATATTCCAAGCTAAGCACGCCATAGGTTGTCACTCTAATAGCAAAGTTATGCATACCTCATTATGACCTTTTCGTGCATTAACGCGAATAGTTCTTGCGCAGGATGTGGCGAGGTTGTTACTTTGCCTCACATGCTCTGGGAATGGTGGTCGTTGAGCCTGGCGTTGAGCAAGGAAGAGTGGGACATCACACCCCTCGGTGAACTCCCGTTTTCTGAGACAAAATCCTAGCCGTCCAGCGTATTCGTGATTGTACCGGCTGGCTTGACCTGTCGGTTCCGCCGTGGGATTAGCTGGGTGCGCGTTTTGTCTCGTTTTGATAAAACAAATAAGATTGATTCACTAACTCATTCACCCATTATTCACTTAATCAAGATTGTTGTTGCGAGGAATGCCTGAAGGAAGAGAACTATGAAAGTGCTTAGCAGAAAGTGAACAACTTGGCGCAGATTCAGATAAACAGACAGCATAGAAAATCATGTGGTGCTAGTTATCTGACTGATTGTCCGTACAATGGGGCACACAGATGGTGGGGGGGAAATGTCGCTATGTTTAATGTGAGAGTCACTCAATCCTAGAGTAAAGAAAAAGACGGGAAGAATGCGTAACTTTGAAGGCGGCCCACCCATTTTCTTTACATACGCAACAAAATTACCCACCATTATGCATCGCTCCAGCTGAACAGCTTACACATCCAACACACTTCACATCACACAATATGAAGGGCACATCATACGTCAATTCCAGTTCAGTTCATACGTATTTTCCACTCAGCACCTACGTCTACACTATACACTCTAATGAAGATCAACCGAAAAGGGCGTCTTTTTGTTCCACAACAATATTTGTCATGTGCTTGCACTCGCTTCCTTTCTTGAGATTTTAGCGCTAGCTGCTTTCCCATGACTAGTTATGCCACTCTGACCACTTGTGAAAGAACTGTCTGAGGCCGTGCTGTGTAGTCTCGAGCTGACTATTTATGCTTCGCTTTCTTACTCCTCTTCTTTTCTGTCTTTTTCTGTTCTATTGTTTTCCTTTTCCCACACCCCAAGTGTAGGGTAACCAACCGAGCCAAGCTTGGTTAACCTCCCTGCCTTCCCTCTCCATTTATCTCTCTCTCTCTCTCTCTCTGAAAACGCGCCTGTCGTTCTTGCCCTGAGAATGTCAGGCGGCGCGCGGCAATAGTGCGAGTAAAATAACGCAAGATAGATGAAGAATATTGTTGTGGGATAAAAAGACGACCTTATTACTCGATCTTTTCATACATTGTATTGTTCAGTTCTCTGTAGGCTCACAATATTTCTCAAAGCGTCGTTCATGAACTGTAACAGAGCGGAAATATAACCTTCCAAACAACAGCAAACAAACGGGTCTCGAACTTATATGGCTTAAAAAAGTATTTTGGGGGCATATACATTTCTGTGCAGCCCTTGACTTTGTCAGGGGAAAATGCATGTTCCGTATGTCCGCCGTGCTATCTGTTTTTATGCTAGCAAACGGGTTGACCCCCCTATAGGCGCATTCTTTAGGCGTAGAGAGCATCACTTATAATTCGTGGGCATTGCAAATACTGTTTTTTTTCCTCCAAGCAGTGTCCGGTGATAGCGTAGCTCTGTGATCGAACATCTGCTTGCGACAATCTAGGGTCTGAGTTCGACGCTCGCCCGGACGGTGAATTTTTATTATTGTTATTTTTCGCATCTTTGTCCATGTTTAGTCTTAAAGGAAATGATGATTTTCGCCAACAACTAACGACGCCGACACAAACACGGTCACCAGAATTTCTGTGATCCCTTTACAACGCTATCGGCGTACACTGAGCGGCCGCCGTGGTCGAATCGTAACTAGGACGCTCCGATGCTGGCTCGCAGGTCGCTGGTTCGATCCCGGTCATGGCGGTCGCATTTCGATGGACACGAAATCGTTGAAGCCCGTGTTTATATACGCGTACTGTGCGATGTCAGTGGACGGTAAAGAACACCGGATGGCCGGAATTTATTTTACTGTAATAGTAGTAGAGAAAAAATAATGTTATTATTCTTAACAATATTATTACTAAAATTATTAATAATATTATTATCTTTATTAGTTGTAGTAGTAGTAGTAGTATAAAACGCCAAGTAGACGATGGAATGATGTGCATAAGCAAGTATCTGCAGCAGAAAAAAATTGGCCCCGTATATGTATTTTCAATGCAAATGTCGTTAGAAGACGACAGTCCTCCGTCTGGACACAGTGAAGAAAACCTTTATTGTATGTTCCACGCGAGAAAAGTGGTGAGTTGTATTCTGGAGGCGCTACGTTAAAATGCCTCGATGCGTGCAGCGGAGGCCAACGAGCTCATCGAGCCGCTTGAGATATGTGCACTATTAAGCAGTTATCCTGGAAAACGGAGGATGGCATGCGCCTTTGTCTCGGAGGTGATAAGGTGTAGAACGCAAAAAGACGGGCAGGTGCCTCCACCGTGCAAAGCGTTGGAAACACTTTTCTTTTTGTGCATAGCGCTTCTTGTCAGCGCAGGGTGAAAAACGCTAAGATCTTTAGAACTACTTGTGTATGCCCTCTAAATTATGAAGGCATACTTACAAAACATCGTGGTGTTCTTATGGTGCCTCAGATATGCACAATAAGTGATTTTAACTGAAATCACAGACGTATGAATGCTGAAGTTTGAGCAATATTGTTGGGCGCTGTGGTTGGCGTTGAATTTTGGTCATTTTGGATATTGTACTGGTGAACACACAGACAGACAGACAGACCGACCGACCGACCGACAGACAGACAGACAGACAGACAGACAGACAGACAGACAGACAGACAGACAGACAGACAGACATTTTCGCGTGGAAGTACCCGAAGACAGTTTATCGTCTTCAAAGTGCCGTGGCGTTTCTCCTGCGGGTATTCATGTTTCGTCGCATTTCTTTCCAGATCCGCAAAATTTCGCCTGTAGAAAAACATGTAGTAATAAACGCGTGCAGGTGAGCACTGCCAGAAAAAACCAAGTAGTTGACATTATGAATGGCGTTCAGTGTGGTTTCTTCGCCAAATCATAGCCTTTTTTCACACTGTGGTGCCAAAACCACTCGTTAGAACACGTCTCCTTTTTCACAGAACTCAAGGGGGCCTTTTCTTCGACTGCATTGTGCTCAGGGCGGCGAGGCACTGCAATGGACTATTCTTGATCAGCATGAACCTAGACCTCATTAAATATTTGTACGCATTACATTAAGCACCACACTTTCCTACGCTATTGGTAATCCTTCTGTTATAACTCCATTATTCCAAAGCTAAGCAGTAATTTTTAAAACCACTCGATTCTTGGCCAGTCCACCATAGTGGGTATGCGCCACTATCAACAGGTGAACAACAACAACAACAACAACAACTTCAACAAAGGATCCGACGAATCGCTTCAAGACGAAGCGCTGCACTCGACGGGGCCAGTACACAAAGCGCCTGCAGGATTCAAGGTCACTGCTGACAGGCCCTACTTCGGACAAGACTAAGCTCGCAGGTATTTGTGACCGTTTGTCAGCTAGCACCATCGAGCTCTCGAAAATTAATGATGCACTCGAGGTGCACCGAGCTGACGAGAAACTTGAAGCGGAATATGTCGTGGCAGCCGAGTATAATGACCAAGCCATCAGCATGTTCACCGAGATTCGCTGCAAAATAGGTTGTTTAGGACGCGCGGACAGCACAGCAGCGACTGCTCCTGAGAACGCAACCACACCGCCTTCTGACGCTCCAACCATTATGGGCCCAAGACTGGCGCACCTTGACTTGCCAACATTTAGAGGCGATAGTCACGAGTGGACAGCTTTCTGGGAGCAGTTCCAGCAGACTATTGATCTTAACAATACAATGTCGATGACGGCGAAGTTTTTCTGTCTGTGGCATTAACTTGAGACTGAAGCGGCAGCTGCGGTTTCTAGGTTCTCCACTTACGAATCGTGTTGCACTGACGCCATAGAGCTACAGAAAGATTGGTTCGGTGATTGGAATAGAATCGTGGAAAACCACCTGTTAGCGCTTCGCAATCATCCACATGCCAAGTCAGAAAGCAACGTATGAAGCCTTAGGCCGTTTAACGACTCTTTGCAGCTCAACGTACAATGTTTCGCTGCACTAAACGTGCCAACGATAACGTTCTCGGCTATGTTGATTGACACTATACCAGAGACTTTGCCATACGAGATCGTTCTAGCATACATCAGAGCAAAGCGCAGTGAGCCTTTAGGAAAACACAAGCCTTCTGCGAATGCCTCAGACCCAGAACTCGCCATTGCAACCTCGGATTCTGAGTTATTAGAGCTGCTCATGTGCATCCGTATTAAATTGGAAAGTCGAGAGTAGTGTCGGCTATTCTCAGAACGACCTGTTATTAGCCTCACTCTCAGCCATCAAAGAGACCAAGACGAAAGCACCAGCACCACTTCTGTACTTACACAGCGCATATAAGAACTGACGTGAGTGTGTTTTCAGTAAACTTGAGGAACCTTGCACACGCACCTGTGACGCCAAACTTTTGCTCATTTTAAATAAAGAAGAACTAGCTGAAGACAGGCGCTGCTACTGAAGTACGTCACGAGGTCAGCTGGCAAGCTCTTGCAACGTGAAGCTTAAGTGCTCAGCTTTTCACGGAAAGCACGCATCGAGTATGCGTGACGCTAGCTACGTAAGAAAATTGGCTACAGCTGAAACGTCCTCACCAGCTGAGGCTTCTGCTATCATAGTAAGGACGTCGCACTCAGCAATTATGTGTCAAGAACTCCTCACGTGGTTGCGCAAAGACGGACACAGGAGTGGACCTGAAGACAATTCGCGTATTTGTCGTGAACGGTAACAGATCAGCACATAAAATAGATTCTTGTTGAAGGAAACCAGCGATCACATAATATAAAAAAATCTAGCAGAAAAAATGCAACTTAAGCTGCTGGGAGAGTCTCAAATTTCATTTAACACGTTTGGTATTGTTCCCCCAAGTTGTGCAGAAAACCTAAAAGTTGTTGAAGTCCTTCTGCGGAGCCAAGACCGTTCTTCAGTTCACACACCATCCGAGTCACTGTCATACCTGTTATCTGTGACGACATTGTTTCACCGGCAGGTGATGACTGTCTAATACAAACGTTGCGTAGCGAAGGGAAAGTCATTGCAGATTAAAAAAAGTGTGATGCAGAGACGGGAAATCGCCTCAGCTTGTTCATTGGAGCTAACCATCTGTGGAAGGTTCTTACAGGAAGAGTCATAACGAGTACGAAAATTCCAGAAGTGGTCGCAATCAAGGCAGTGTTTGTATGGACACTGCAGGACCCAGTCATCAAAGTTACTCAAGTGACGACGACACGAACATCACACTTCCTGTTCTGCGAGTAGAGGTGAGCGGCGTCAACAACACAGCCTCGCATATTACCAACCATTCCGACAGTTTGAAGGAGCAGCCGCCACAAATCCCGGTGAACCACACTTACTTGAGTCGATTGGGAGCTTCCGAGAAATGACTGACAGGAGAAAGGGGGGACACCATTTCATTTGGAAGGAATATCCGAAAAAGCTAGTCGGAAGCAACCGTAATACCGAGATGACATGCTCACAAAAACTATTTCTCGGACTTCTCAGGTACAGTTTTTTGCCCTGTTTAACACGTATGAGACTAACATGCGTGCGCTACAGAGCGTACAAGCCCGAGCACTTTGGACATGTCGTGGCTTTCCAAGATGCTCATCGACAGTGGCACCCATTTTTATCGCAAAAGAACAGCCGGTCACAACGCATATCATTGTTGCGACGCTGAGAGCGCACACTCGGCATTTATCACGGCTTCCGGTGGTCAGATCATTTAGCGTGTTTGACAGCGCAGAGGCCCCATTCTTCATTCTGCGGTATTGTGACGAAGCATCAGGGCATATAACCACCTGGCTTCAAACTTGCGATGCATCCAACAGCTGCGTTATTGAGTCTCCGTCAACATAACAAGCGTTTATCGGTTCCTGGAATTGTTAAAAAGGCACGCATGCCACCGCTAGCCCAGAAGAAATCGACTTTGCGTCTGTTGGACGAAAAGTACTTTGACCGCATGCCTGTTTACACCAATGGCTCCACTAACTCCAACAGCTTTACAGGAGCAGTGGTTGCTGCATCTGGTAATGCGTTGCTTCAATACAAACTCTCTCACAACACAAACGTCGACAGCAGCAGAACTCGCAGCACTTCAAGGTGCAGCCAAGTACATTCTTCGGCAGCAACCTAATCAATAGGCCATCTTTTGCGGCTCGAGGTCGGCCTTACAGACACTATTGTTCAGTATGCAGCACGGGTTACACGAACAATCAGTATATGAGATAAGGCACCACTACAACGAAGCGCTCGTTCAAGGTCACAATACTGTATTTCACTAGTTGCCGAGTCATCGCGGAATATTCGGCAATGACCACGCGGATTAAGCTGCTCAATCGGCCCGTGACCAAGACCTGAGTACGCCCAGACCACTCTTGAGAACAACGCTGCAAGGCGACTCTAATCTCTTTCTCGCCGTATAACTCTTCTACAATGGAACACGCCGGGTTTTTACAACGCACGCCTGTATTCGATCGACCCCAACTTTCAACTTCATTTGCCATCCGAGCTCCCACAATGCGCTGAAACCTTGCCCTGTCGCATGAGTTTGGGCATGGCATTTACGTATGCGTGTTCTCGTCTCCTTGGAACGGCGAGCAGTCTGACATGCAACATCGGCGCCTGCGAGGAGACGCTTGAGCTATTCCATGCCACTGCCCGGCATACCAGGCTGAACGAGGTATTATGGATGCCAAGCTCTGTCAGATGGACTCACGGCCGCTTAAAGGAAAGAAGATCCTGGGACCTTGGCCAACGATTTCGCATACGTGCAAAGCCACGAAAGCCCTCTTGTACTTTTTAAGGGCCACCAGACTTCACAAGCACTTGAGAAAGAACTGTGTGAGACCGTGCTGTGTAGTCTCGAGCTCACAATTTATTCTTCAATTTCTTAATCCTCTTCTATTTCTATCCTTTCTAATATTCCCATTTCCCCTACCCCAAGTGTAGGGTAGCCAACCGAGCCAATCTTTTTTAGCCTCCTTGTCTATTCTCTCTATTTATCTCTCCTTCTCTCCCAAAAAACTAGTAATGGGTCAATGATCAGAAGAGTTCTTGAAGCGATATGTCCGACAATTCGTGGAACAAAGTCACTATGACGTGTTACCTGAGAATGCGACGGTGTATTGGACCAATTATTATGCGCCACATCGAGAAGTTGTAAGAGAAGACTTTTCGACTTCTGAGTCATGTTTCACATTTTATCACCCACTCAAGGCATACCAGCCCTCTTCGACTGCTTTTATTAAGCAGTTAACCCAAAGCTAGCGCAGAGCACTTTGTTTGAAGTCTGCATCTCATCGAAGAGAGCCGAAGTTTATTTAAGACGACAGTCTTTCTCGGGAACCTTCGACGCAAAAATTTCTTCGGTCGGTTGGTCGGTCGGTCTGGTCTGTCTGTCTGTCTGTCTGTCTGTCTGTCTGTCTGTCTGTCTGTCTGTCTGTCTGTCTGTCTGTCTGTCTGTCTGTCCGTCCGTCCGTCCGTCCGTCCGTCCGTCCGTCTGTCTGTCTGTCTGTCTGTCTGTCTGTCTGTCCACTCTTAACGGCACCGGGCACTTGAAACAGACGACCCTATTTGCAGTGCCCACCAATGTTGCTCAAGATTTAGCGTTCATATCTTTGCAATTGCCTATTAAAAAGCAATAATTCCGCATGTCTGGGGCACCATAACAATGCGTATATACTTCCCCCCGTTAACTTTATGAATGTCTACAGGGGCTACACGCGCTTCATCGTTGCTCAGCACATCCTAGCAGCGGTTTCCAAAACGAATGCAGTGGCGATCAGCGAGGAATCCGGCTTTCGTGAAAGTTAATGGCCCCCAACTCAAATCACAAACACTGACCCGATTAAGGTGAAATCATCCGAGCGTGTAAACTGAAACTTCAAAAAGTATAACTTTTTAAGAATAGCAGGGCGGAAATTGTTCAAGCTCGACTTGTGCAGATCTACTGGGGGGGGGGGGGGAGGGGAATGGAGATGCAGACAAGTATGTAGTAATAAACGCGTGCAGACGAGCACTGTCAGAAATGTAGTTGAAATCATGAACGACGTTTGGTCTGGTTTATTCACCGATTCATAGTTTTTTCACAACGCGGTTAACACCGCTTTAGTGCCAAAATGGCTGATACTTCTTGTTTAAAAATCAAATACCTCTTTATGTCTAAGAAAAGAGTTGAAAACACGCGCCTTGCATTGATAAATAATAAGTGAAACGGGTGCTAGTGTCAAATAAACAAATCACAGAACAAACCAAAAGGTATTGCTCATGCCCATACCACCTGCACAATAGAACACCGCAGAAAGCGCTTTGTTGAAGAAATCTTCAAACTGGTGATTTCACTACACAACCTGTCTGCAAGTGTGAATACGTACCTCCGTTAGCAAGCCTGAAGTAAACGGTTGTGTTACCTGTCTTGTTCTTCACTGTAACTTCAATGTTCCTTGATCTGAAATATCGAAATGCAGAAAGAAAATATGGCAGATCCCACGTACAGAGCAAATCAATGACATCCGACGCACGTTTGAGGAAGGTTTGACGAGCACATCATGAGCGTGGCTTGTAGTAATGTTCTTACATGACATGCATGTCTTGATTTCCACGTTAGAATCTGTCATTTATGTTCGACATGCAGTCACGTCATGCAATACCAGTTTTGCAATGTTTCATGTGAACAAAACGCCGCAAGAGCAGCAAGACAATGAAAAGTAAATTATGCCATTCATGACATACATTTTATGCTTTTATGTTTTGACTAGTTATTTATGCGCGTCAGACAGTCATATTATGCCATAAATATTTTGGTGTCGATACTACATTTAAAACGACCACAAGAGCAGAAGTCATAGGCACTAGATAATATATTGATCGATATGTGGGGTTTAACGTCCCAAAACCACCATATGATAATCAGAGATGCTGTAGTGGAGGGCTCCGGAAATTTGGACCACCTGGGGTTCTTTAACGTGCACCAAAATCTGAGCACACGGGCCTAGCACATTTCCGCCTCCATCGGAAATGCAGCCGCCGCTGCCGGGATTCGAAACCGCGACCTGCGGGGCAGTGGCCGAGTACCTTAGACACTACACCACCGCGGCGGAGCAAGGCGGCTAGATAAGATAGATAGATAGATAGATAGATAGATAGATAGATAGATAGGTAGATAGATAGATAGGTAGATAGATAGATAGATAGATAGATAGATAGATAGATAGATAGATAGATAGATAGATAGATAGATACGCTGAAAGTAGCCGAAGTTTTCGAAAAAAGGCTTCGCATTAAAATTCCCAAAAAACAAAATTCATAAAAAAATTATAGCGACTCCATACAAATGAATGAATATATGTAAACATTATTAAAATAAAGCACGGCTCTGGGTGGCTGTTTCGGAATATGGGAGGAAAGAATTATTAAGTGCATAGTGTGAGCATATCAAAATAACACCAGTTGGCATTAATCCGTTTCAGAAGACGTTCTGAGAGTCGCTAACACCCGAGGTAGTCGATCTCTTCTAGGCCATCCGAAGCAGGCCACTTTTGTATTACGTATTATTTCGTACCTAATACAAAACTGGTATATGTACTATAATCATTTCAAACATTCTCGCTTGCAGTCAGTGTTCCATACATAACCAGAATAGTGCTGAGTGCTCCCAGCATGGCCAAACACTCTGCATGTAAGGGTTGCCTGCCGGGGAGCCGGTCACTATGACAACCATTGTGGCGGGATGCGGATGTGCTGACTCAGGCTATACTAGCTTGCATGTCACAAAAAGCATTCACACAACTCTTCTTGCCAGAAAAAACACGATGCTGAACGAGCCATTATGAAGTATATATATCTTACGATATCGGTGGTTCCATTTTTTTGACCCAATCGCATATTTTTGCTAAGGTTTCACCTAATTACGTTGCTTGTCTTTTATCACAATCTCACTATTCTAGTGCATATTATTTGAAGCGGTATGAGCTTTAGAACGGGAGAAAAAGAAGCATGAAGGCATGGCCGGAAAGAAGAGAAAGATAATGTTAGGAATAAAGCAGATTAAGATGAATGCCAGTTCCATACTGAGGTTATACTGCTGTTACGTTCTTTTAAGTAGGAACACTAAATTATTTTTGGCGCAGCCGGCCATCAAAGCCAATATGTGGGTGACTTTCTTCGTTGATGAGACCTCCGTGGACCAGACCATCTTCTCGAAATACCAAGTTTAAGATGAAGAAGCGGTGGACGTTCTTCGTGAGCTCTGCTCGGAATAACTAGTGAACCTTGTTGCTAGAAAGGCAGCCATGGACACTACTGAACTACGACGGAAAGCTGCTGTAGAAGTGAACTTGCATGTGGCGACTTTCTGCAACCTAGTTCTTATACCAGCGCGTCAAAGAGACGCAGTATCACGGTGTTCGACGGAAGAGGTGAGCCTCGTTATAAAAGCTCTTCAGCTGCAACAGGAGCAGATTGTGCAACAAATAATTACATCCCTTAGAGATAGCGACAAATAATTACAAATAATGACAGAACCAAATAGTGACATTCCTTAAAAACTTTCTGAATGCCGAGAAACCGCTGCCTGAGTTAGTACAGCCTGATGCCTTCAACGGTATGTATTAAAGTTCAGAAAGTTTGCTTGAGATCTACGAATATGCCACTGAAAAAAACAGGTGGCTCTCTGATGAGGATGAAATCACTAACATGCGTGTTTACTTGAGAGGTGTTGGGCTCAAGTGTTATGAAATATGCACTCAGGAAGACAGTGACAACCCTTGAAGTCAGCGGGAGAAGAAACTTTTGACTGCATTCGGAAGCAATCCAGTACACAGATGGAGTATAGCGCTTATTTCAAGTCCAAGCAAAGCTCCCTTGTCGAGTATTTCTTCGAGTAATGCCGTATTTTAAAGCTAGCTGAGCCTTTGCTTCCATCTACGGCCGTAGTAGCCTCAATTATGCATGATATACGCACTGAAGTCTTGAAGTAGATGCAAATACGGTCACCAAGAACTCTACAAGATCTCCTGGAGTGTCTTCAGAACATACGACAAACTTCGGAAACAAGCATAACCGCTCGTTCAAGCAGCTGTTTCAGCCGGAGTAAAGCGAACTGGTCAAGCTGCGATCACCGAAAACTGAGCCACCTCCCAAGTAGCATGGATAACTGGACCTGGCGCGCTGCAAGAGGTCGAGGGAATAATATCGACACTGAAGCTCAGGACGATTAGACAGAAAAAAACTAATAAATTAGGGTGATCAGTCCGGCCCGATGACTCCAAGTGGGACTGTTTCTTTAGGTTGCACAAGCCTACTTTACATTCCCGTCAAAGTAGGAAAGAAGCCGATGGTGGCTTTCGTGGACTGCGGTGCACTTTTGTCGATTATATATGCCAAGATGGTGGATGCAAGCGTGCATAGAGGAACAGTCCTACGGGTACAAGGCTATGATGAATAAATAACGTTGCATGATCAATGGGTCTCTGTAAACAATGAGTTCAGAGTCAGAAAATAGAGAACGAAGTGTTGGTGGTAGAGAGGGTGACGCACGACGTTTTGCTATCAAGGCCAGATATAAATAAATTAAAGATCAATGTATACTGGGACGATATGGTTCTAGTCAAAGCCATAGCAAGGAACGAGACATAATAAGATAGACAAGATAGCCTATGAGTTGTCAAGTGTGCAGAGGATATCTCAACGACCTACCCTGAGCCTGTATGCAGAGAAAGCTATCCTCAGTCGATGAAGACATACAAGGTTTCTTTTGAACCCGCTGACAAGACTGTTATCTGGAAATCACCTTGCAATATGTCAAGAAAGTGCAAGATTTGGCTCAAGAAAGAGTTGCAGGTGATTCTAGATGCTGATATCATACGACCATTGTCATCCCTTTTCACTTCTCCCATAACAATCGCACCGAAAGAAGACGAAACCTTCATAGTGTGCACCGACTTCAAGGTTCTGAATCGTCATGCAGAACTCATACCATTTCTCATGCCGAAGATCGACACACTTGTAAATGAGACTGGTGGTTGCCGACATTTTTCTCTCATCTATTTGTGCAAAGGCTTGTGGCAGATCCCGCTAACCGAAAAAACAAAAATGTGCACAGCTTTTATAACGCCGTTCAATCTCTACGTGTATAAGCGGCTTCTTTTCGGTTGGAAAAACTCGCCAGCGTGGTTCCAGAAGATCATGAACGACGAGCTAAAGCCATTTCTTGACGTTTTCTGCAATCTGTAGATAAACGACATAATAGTATTCTTTCAGAGGCTGAGCATCAGGACCATCTGTCTCAGGTGTTAAACACCTTGAGCTTGGCAAATCTCAAGGTTAATTTTAAGAGTGCATGCTTTCAACAACAGGTTGTGTTTATTGGACGATTCTTTGATGGGAACACATAAAACAGGAAAAAAGAAGTCCGTCGAGAAGATCTCCCAGTTGAAGAAACCATATGACGTCCATTCACTGCGCGTGTTTTGGGGATAGGCATGATACTTCCGATCTTTCATAAAGGACTTTTATGTCAAAACTAGATGTCTCACAGGTTTAACACAGAAAGACATTCCCTTTGCAAGAAGTGACGAATGTGAGAGAGTCTACCGTGACTTGGTGCAAAAAATTTCTTCTAACCCTGACCTACGCCTACCGGACTTCACTTTACCTTTTCAACTGAACACTGACGCCTCACATTATAGGACTGGTGCACTCTTGTATCAAAAATGTATTCAAGCATCCAGCCGAGAAAAGCGACAAGTAGGAGATTACTACAGTTACACGTTGGAGCTATCTGAAAATAATTACGCTGCTACGGAAAAGGAAGCCCTGGCGGTTCTGAAGGCCATTGAGTACTTCCTTACGTACCTGGAAGGTACGAAGTTTACTTTGTTCACCGATTACCAGGCCCTCACTCATCTCTTTACTTTGGCCCAAATTAAAGGACGTATAGCTAGATGGGTGAATTACCAGCAGCGATTCAACTTTACCATGTCGCACCGACCAGAACCACTTTCAACAGATGCAGATCCTCTATCAAGTTAAGCTTTGGGAAGGCTCCGAACAACTGGTTTTCACTGAAAGGAGGTATCAAATCCCTCCAACACTTGTTTCCAAAGTCCTTTATTTGTACAACGATAGCCCAGAATCTAGAGGAAGCGACAGATTTCAGCGCAACTACAACAAATTGATCAAGAGATTTACATGGCCTCACATAAACAAAGACGTCAGTCAGTACGTTCGTTCCTGCCATGTGTGTCAAGTGCACAAAGTCAAGTTTAAACAGCCTACGGATGCTATGATAATACCTTGCCCCTCGAACGTGCCTTTCGAAGTAGTTTACCTAGATTTCGCCGAACTAAATAAGAACTGGGAAGGAGTCAAGAAAATGCAAGCTTTTTATCTGGCCATGGATGAATTGCTCTGGCCATAGATGAATGCACGAGGATGGTCGTGGCACGAGCAGGAAAGGAGATGCAAATAGCGTCATAACTCCCCTAGAAAGAGACATATTCAAGAATACGCGGTCAATCGCATGCGATAACGTCCCTACGTTGAAGAGCGAAAGGCTAGCAAGATGGGCTCGGGATCACAATATATCGATAAATTTCTGTGTTCTATATCATCCCGCAGCGAATGGGCTAGCAGAATGTGTCATACGGAACGTGAAACAGTACATCTAGATGAACTATTTTTTTTCTGGTGGATGGAAATATTTTTAGAAGCCGCCGTGAAACATCATTATTGATCGTATGCAAGTGGTTCGGGGTGCAGTCCACAGTATTCTTCTTCAGAAGAAACCCCAATTATGCAGGCAGACCGTGAGTTTGAGAGCTCTTGAAAAACATGAAGATTGTCGAGGAGAGGCAAAAAAAATACAGTAGGAGAGATACCGAAAATATAAAAACATAATTTTGAGAAGAGGCATGGAGCAGACATGCGAGACATTCCAGTCAATGACCTCGTACCAGTGAGGCAAGGAATAAGAGATGACAGTACCAAATTTTACGGTCCTTACTCTGTGACCAAGACAGCCACCCACCATGGAATTTCGAAGACTGTCTAGTACACTGGTGAACGTGAATCAGTTGAATGTGTTTTGATTGGAAAGGTCTTAAACTAATACCCCAAGAGGGGTAAATAAAAGAAACCTGGAAGGCTGAAGCGGTACGAGCCTTGGGACAAGAAAAGAAGCATGGGAGCCGAATCTTGAAAGAAGAGAAGAATGAAGTTAAGAATATAGCAGATCAAGGTGTACGCCGATTCCATACTGAGGCTATAATGCTGTTCCGTTCTTTTAATTAAGAACACTACAATATTTATTCGAGAATTTTAAGGCTAATGGCGATAGGATTTTTTAACTGCGCATAAGTGCTGGCGTAGCTATGGAACGCAGTGGTAAAGTCTTTACAGTGACTTGGTTAAGAGCTGCATTCAGGCAATAATCTTATGGACTTTATTTAAGAATACACAAGTACAACACAAGGCAAATACACGCGAGCCAATTTTTTCGCGCAAATCATTTAAATATAGAATATGATTTACTGCGATATCTATTATATAGACACTCTCAGTTGGATTTTGCAGCTGACGTTGGCGTCGGTGTCGATGTCATGCACCGTATACGTCTCTATACGTATGAAAACGCAAAAAAGAAAAAATTCGGTAAAAAGCACTCTGGCGCGTAGAATTGTACGCGGGACCTGTACGTCGTGGAAGCGAGGCGTTAGCCACTGAGCCACCCTGGAGAACGTTCTTCACCATTCAAACGGGAAGCTATTTATATCTAGCACTTACCTCTGCTGTGTTTTGGCATTATCAGAAAGATGGCGCAATGAGCAGAGATCGCCCCATCACGCAGCGGCGCCTGCTCTAATCCCCTACGCGTAATTTGCGTGGCTTAGAGAAGGGGAGCGACGCTGCTCTCGCGCGCCCTTATCTCGCGGTAGCGAGGAAGGAAGGACCGTACGCCTTGGCTGGCCTCTGACTTTACCTCGAACAATTCTGCTGTAGTCCTTGAACTTGTATAGCGCATTACGGGGAAGAAGAAACGGCCGAGCAGACCGACACAAGAGGACAGAGCGCTAACTTCCAACTCAGTTGGAAGTTAGCGCTCTGTCCTCTTGTGTCGGTCTGCTCGGCCGTTTCTTCTTCCCCGTAATGCGCTATACAAGTTCAAGTACGACGAACCAACTCGCCCAATCTTCAACACTCGTCTGCTGTAGTCACCGGGCACACAAAGGTCACTGCAATCATTGAAGTCACAGTTCGCGAAAAGTGCACGCTTTTCAGACTCAGCAAAGTAACAAAGCAGTCGCTTCTTCACGTGCATCCGTACCTGTGAGTATGTTTCGGGCTTAATTTGTTCGCGAGAAACGCGGGGCACATTTCGATCTTTTTTTTCCATTCTGAGCGTGACCCTAAAATTGTTGCTATCGCATTCGTTGCTTCGCCTTTGCGGCAAAGCTGTGACATTTATATACTAAACACTTATTTCGCATGCTATTCGATGCGCGTGAATGATAAAGAACAGGTAACCTAGAATGATAAAGACGCATCGTTTGCAGTTCCATTTTAGGACAATAACGCAGAAAAAACATGAATATTATGTGTATCTATACTCACAGTTTCGTCAATTTTTGAAGACGACGTCTGTAAAGAATTGTGAATGGAAACATTACTGCTAATAAAATACCAAATCATTTTATAACTTCCTGCATATGGAATCGTTCTGTGCACAGAAAGAGAAAATCTCTTCCCAAATTATGGTGTCGTGACCCTAAAATATCTTTTTACCATATCGAGTCGGCATGCCACTTTCGCGGTGTCTGACCCGTTCTTCCAGCAATCAGACGGTTCTTATAGCACCCGCTACATCGTTCGCCGGCAATCAATGAGTGACATGCCTCCCGACGCAAACAATGCCACTGCAAAGTTACTTTGTCCTTTTAAGCTACACGGGTGTCGCACATGTAGGTAGCCATATGCGCCGGAGATGAGTCATGAAGGCGTCCACTCCACAGAAGCATGTGATAAGGTGTATTCGATGCATCTCAGCTAAAACACAGTGTGTAGAAATGTTATCTTTGAAAGGAATAGCACGTTTGTGTGCCACAGAACTGACAAAGGCACCCAACAATTGATAAAGTCATGTTCTAAAAGAAAGGAAGGTTTTTTTAAAATGTCTTCTTCGCAGACAATGACCATTTATTCTGACACCTGAAGGCGGCAAATGCTGATGAGGTCGCAAGAACGTAAAGAAAAGAAAGATTATGAGTTAACTGTAAGGTAAACGTTGGCCTTCGACAACCACGCCTCATTCGATTGCAAATGATGCCCCCCTTGTCTAGCTTCTGGAGCTGAGCAACCGACCCTGTAAGAGCACAAAATACTTCAAGGGAATAACCGCTGTACGCTAGTTCATATGACAATTTTATATCTTCATATCATACGTACAGGAAAGTACAGGCTGGCAGTTTTTAGTGTAAATTTCGTGCTTCCTTACGCAGAAGAGATTTAAAATTTTAGGACACCATTTTCTGAGTGATTCTTACACTCGTTTATAGCCAAAAATAATAATTTTACTGCATGCCATAGTGGAACTTTTATAGGTGAGGCAGCACAATAGTTTTGTTTTTCAAATCAGACCAAGTATGTTAAAATAAAACGCAATGAAATATACTTACATACGAGCTATTCTGACAGGAGGAGAACTGTAAATAGAAATAAAATGTTAGCTCCTACCTCAGCATACTGGAAGTGTATTTTGTTGTCAGACATCACTGATACGTGTATAAAAAACACAAAGTACAGAAACATACATCATTCATAGATATATGGGGTTTAACATCTCAAAGCCACAATACAATTACGATAGACGCCGTAGTGGAGGGCTGCGGAAATTTTGACCATCTGGGGTTCTTTAACAAGCTCCCCAATATGAGCTCATGAACCAATAGCATTTCCGCCTTCATCGAACATGCAGTCGCCGCAGCCGCGATTCGTTCCCGCGACCTGCGGGTCAGTAGAAACATGAATCTTTGACATTCATGCTACAACGGTAAGTTAAATGGGTAATCACAATCTGTTTCCGCATATTATGACCTTGCACAGTAGCAGGCTGCAAACAATGCAAATGTGACTATTTTAGGCAACATGCGACGTCTAAGTCATTTGCCGGTCTTGGGACTGACGTGAGTCTCGGATGACAATTTACAAACGTATATAAATGCTTTTCAATCAAATCGGTCGTCGTAGCGCTGAATTAAGCAACAAAAAGTCTTAATGTAGGTCGAAGACACAACAGTTGCCGCAGCAGGAGGAAAATCCACGCTTCTTTACGGAGCCAATCATGACAAGCTGGTGAAACGCCACCATGTACTGCGCGTGATGGATGTGGCTGTACTACTTCGCACGCACAGCTCTATTCAATGGGACACTGTCTCCTCGCTAAACGACACGGGACTTGTATTCTCTTTCTATCGTTTCTTCTTTCTTTACATATATCTTTCGCCTTTCTGTTGATTTTGTACCTCTCATTCTTCTGTTTCCATAGCTTTTCTTTTTTATCTTTTTCATTTTTTCAGTGGTACTCTTTGCTCTATCCCCACTTCGTGACCATCATGTCTGTACTCCCAAACCTCACTTTCCATTTCCACACCGTCACGGCACAATACAACATAAGTTTATGCTATGCTGTGCTAGCTTGCCTGCATTCCCGAGTGATCAAGATGCTCTGTTTTCGGTCAAAGTTACGGGAAATTGAATCACACTTAGCGAGGAACTTTCTTCGACACATAAGGTTATGTTTTTGTATAAATTATATGTAAAGCATTTTCAATGCTTTACATATAATTTACTATAATGAACTGCGGCGACTTTGAGAGTATCTATCTATCTATCTATCTATCTATCTATCTATCTATCTATCTATCTATCTATCTATCTATCTATCTATCTATCTATCTATCTATCTATCTATCTATCTAGCCGACTACGACTTTTAAGTCTCCTGACCGTTTCGATAATGGTTTCGATAGCAAACTACCAAAATACCATGACTGTATGAGGAACATATTTGACAAGTCATAGCGTGAAATTCATGACATATATGTCATGAATGTCATGATTTAAATTTCATAGCCTGCAGCTCTTTTGGTGGTTGAGTTCACATGGCATGATGCAAAACTGGTATGGTATGGCATGATTGCTTGGTGAACACAAGCGATAGACTCTAACATAAAAAAAAATTGGTTCCGAATCTCCACGTTACACCACAAATGCCGTCGAAAGACGATAATCTTGCGTCTGAAGAGAGTGAACAAAACTTTTATTTTGGAACGGGGTTTATTGGCACAAGTAGTGCTTGCACAGCAGGTCTATTGATGCGGGAACCAGGCGGCAGGAACCGACGCAGGATACACAACGCTCGGGGCAACAGCTCGCGCTCGGCTCCTTTCCTAAAGGCGTGACCCACTGCGGCACATATTCTTCTTCCTCTCTACAATACCCCGGCGACGAAGACGAGCCATCCTGGCAAGTCAAGGTGATGATATTAGGAGTGGGTCGTGATATGGCTTGAGACGACTCACGTGGAAAGTCTCACGACCAAGGCGTCGCCTGTCTGTAGATGGCGTGACCGGCTCAATCACGTATGTGACAGGAGATCGAAGTTCGACGACCCGATAAGGACCGTGAAACTTGGGGGCAAACTTAGCGGACAGACCTGGGGAGTGGAAGGGCAGTCGAAGCCAGACAAGCGAGCCCCCGGCAAAAGTCTTGACTTGCTGGTCGCGGTCGTGGCGGTCTTTTTCGAATGCTTGCTTGTCCGAGGTGAATGATCGGGCCAACTGACGACACTCTTCAGCGTGGTGCAAAATTTCAGAAAGAGGGCTGAACTCTGAGACGTCGGGATGATACGGCAAAATGGTGTCAAGGGTGGAGCATGGCTCACGCCCATATAGAAGAAAGAAAGGCGAGAAGCCTGTGGTTGACTGCGTCGCGGCGTTGTACGCATAGGTCACAAATGGGAGAATGACATCCCAGTTTGATTGGTCGGAATCGACATACATGGCAAGCATGTCTCCTAGCGTTCGGTTCAAGCGCTCAGTTAGACCGTTGGTCTGCGGGTGGTAGGCTGTAGAGGTGCGGTGCACCGTGCGGCATGCCTGAAGGAGTTGTTGTACAACTTGGGATAAAAAGACACGCCCTCGATCACTTAGCAGTTCACGTGGTGCCCCGTGACGCAGTACGAAGCGTCGCAAAATGAAATTGGCTACGTCACGTGCACCAGCCGTAGGTAGTGGAGCTGTTTCAGCATACCTCGTCAGATGGTCGACGGCGACAATGATCCATCGATTTCCAGTGGCAGTGTAAGGAAGGGGACCATATAGATCGATACCAACGCGGTCGAAAGGGTGCGCCGGACATGGTAGAGGCTGTAATAATCCGGGTGAATGGGCAGCTGTCTTTCGTCGTTGGCATAATGAACAAGACCGAATGTATTTTCGTACAAAAGTGTACATACCACGCCAGTAGTAACGCTGGCAGATCCGCTGATATGTTTTTAACACACCAGCGTGAGCATGTTGTGGGTCGAAATGAAAATACGCACAGACATCAGATCGCATGTGGCGTGGTATAACCAAGAGCCATTTACGACCATCCGCGTGGTAGTTTCTGCGGTATAGTTGCGCGTCCCGTATCGCGAAATGTGTGGCTTGGCGGCGAAGAGCGCGCGGGTACGCAGACGTTGAAGAGTCGGAAAGAATGTTAAGGAGAGATATTATCCATGGGTCTTTCCGCTGTTCAGACGACATGCTTTTGACGGAAATGGGAGCGATGGAGAAGTTGGTGTCCGAATGCAGGTCTGCGGTGGATCTCACTGGTGATCGTGAGAGGGCGTCCGCATCAGAGTGTTTTCGTCCTGAGCGGTAGACGACACGAATGTCGAATTCTTGTAGTCGAAGAGCCCGACGTCCAAGGCGACCTGAAGGATCTTTTAGCGACGCCAACCAACAAAGTGCATGGTGATCGGTCACAACGTCAAAACTCTGTCCGTACAAGTAAGGACGTAACTTGCTTAACGCCCAAACGATTGCGAGGCATTCTTTTTCAGTTACGGAGTAGTTCATCTCCGCTTTCGTGAGTGCGCGGCTTACGTATGCGACGACGTACTCTGGAATACCTGGCTTTCGTAGCGCGAGTACTGCTCCCAGACCAACGCCACTGGCATCTGTGTGCACTTCAGTTGGGGCACTTGGGTCGTAATGGCGTAAAATCGGTGGGGACGTAAGTAGGCGGCGCAGTGTAAGGAAAGCTTCGTCACATGCCGGGGTCCAGTTAGAAAGATTAACTGGACCGTTCAGTAGTTGTGTAAGTGGGGCTATTATTGTTGCAAAGTTGTGGACGAAACTACGAACATACGAGCACAAGCCGATGAAGCTCCTAAGTTCTTTGAGTGAAGTCGGCTTCGGAAAGTCTGCTACGGCTCGAAGTTTGTCTGGGTCGGGGGAAATTCCATCCTTTGTCACAACGTGACCAAGTATCGTAAGTTGGCGAGCCCCAAAGCGGCACTTCTTTAGGTTAAGCTGGAGGTTTGCCTTGGTAAGACACTGAAGAATGGTGCGCAGACGGTCGACGTGGGTAGGGAAATCAGGAGAAAATACAAAAACATCATCGAGGTAACATAAGCATATCTGCCATTTAAGGCCGCGTAAAATGCTGTCCATCATTCGCTCAAACGTTGCAGGTGCATTGCACAGACCGAATGGCATAACCATGAATTCGTAGAGGCCATCCGGCGTAACGAATGCTGTTTTGGGACGGTCACACTCTGCCATCGGAAACTGCCAGTAACCTGAACGTAAGTCCAGCGAAGAAAAGAATTCGGCACCTTGTAGGCAATCGATAGCGTCGTCGATGCGGGGAAGAGGGTATACATATTTCCGGGTAATTTTGTTCAGTCGCCGGTAGTCGACACAAAATCTAATCGAACCGTCTTTTTTCTTCACTAGCACCACAGGTGAAGACCAGGGCTAGAAGATGGTTTGATGACGCCGCGCTGAAGCATATCATCCACCTGTTCTGCAATTACACTTCGTTCTATGGGTGATACGCGGTAGGGGCGTTGCCGCAAAGGAGCGTGCGTTCCAGTGTAGATTGTGTGAGCGACGGTGTTAGTTTGACTCAGTGCCTTTTGAGGAAGGTCAAATGAATCTCGGAATTCATGGAGAAGGGTCATTAGCTGGTCCCGTTGATCCGGAGGAAGCTTGCTGTCGATGGAACGATTGAAGATATCCGAGGAGTAGTCATCCGGCGTGAAAAGAGGAGTAACGGCGTTCAGTTGAAGTTGCTGGCCAGGGTCGTGGGACTCAATAGGCACAATAACGTTGTCATCAACAGAATGAACATAGCCCAGTGTTTCGTGAGCTCTTAAAGTGAGAGGGCATGAGCTAGGATTGCAAACGACAATTCCGGAAGTATCCTGGTGAGGTGGAAACGGCGTATGGCAGAGACGTACCGTGGCGGCGACTGAAACGTCAGATGGCGAGAACACAACGGTAGAGCCGGATAATTCAGTGCGATTGACGGGGACAACGATGGCACTAAGAGGAGGAACATCAACGTCGGAAGCAACAAGAAGCTTGCCCAGGTGAGTGCACTCATTGTCGGTAGATGGCGCATCTGAAAACACATATAATTCCACCTGCGCGCGAGCGCAGTCAATTACGGCGTGGTGGCGTGACAAAAAATCCCATCCAAGTATCATGTCGTGGGCACAAGTGGTCAACACGAGAAACTCAATGTGGTACAGGACTTCTTGAATGTTTACTCTCGCCGTACATGCTCCGACTGGTCGAAGTGGTTGCGCACACGCGGTATTCAGCAAAACGTCGGAAGGCGGCGTCGTTACTTTTCCTACCCAACGGCTGAGTTTCTGACTCATCACAGATACGGCGGCACCCGTATCAACAAGCGCAAGAGTTCGTACACCTTCAACAAACACTTCCAGAACGTTTGTGGGGGACGGGCGAGGACTTGTACAAAGCGCCGATTTCGCAGCTCGTGCCTCCGGAGCTGCGGCAGTCAGTTTTCCGTCTCTACAGGGTTCGGTCGGCGACGCAGAGGGGACGGAGAACGGTAGCGGCGTGGTGAGGAGGAGCGACGGGGACCGAATGATCGGTAGTCGGCAGCAGGGCGGTGGTCTAGTTCGGTTGGTGACGGGTCGCGTTCCACTGATTGTCGGTCGCATTGACGTGGCAGTTCTCGTTGCGCGTTGTACGGGGCCGGTAAAGAGTAGTCAGGGTACCTCGGAGGTGAAGCCGGACCCGTTGCGAAGCGCCGGCGACAGAAGCGCGCCACGTGACCTGGATATCCGCATGTGTAACAGATCGGGCGATTGTCAACTGTGCGCCAAGGGTTTCTGTTATAGCGCTGTTGTATTGCTGGAAATGGCGTCGTTGATACTCGTACAGGCTGGGGAGTCGGCCCAAGCGGAGGTCGTGGTGGAGTAGGAGCAACAGCAGCATAAGTCAATGGCGCGGTGACGGGTGCTGTCTGAGAGACGGACGGCAATGCCTCAGAGACCTGCGCCTGTATTACCTGCCTGATGGCGGGCGCGGGACGCTCAGAAGAGGGTTCCGTTGCCGGTAGATACGACAGGCACGAAAGTTGTCGGGCCACCTCCTCGCGCACATATCGTTTGATTTCGGACATTATTGCGCTGTGGTCTCCACCCAGGCTCAATGCCGCGAGAGTTTCATCGGTAGCCGCTGGACGCCGTGTCATGACTCGTTGTTTGCGCAACTCCTCGAAGCTCTGGCAAAGAGTGGCGAGTTCGGACACGGTACGTGGGCCCTTGGCCAGCAGCATCTGGAAGGCGTCGTCGTCTATCCCCTTCAAAATATGTTTGATCTTTTCTGCCTCAATCATTGAAGGGTCAATGCGCTTGCACAAGTCGAGCACATCCTCGATGTAGCTTGTGAAGCCTTCTCCTTGAAGCTGTGCGCGTCCCGTAGGCGCTGTTCGGCACGGAGCTTGCGTACCTCGGGGCGACCGAACACATCGGCAATGCGTAGCTTAAAGGTGCCCCAAGTGGCAAATTCCGACTGGTGGTTGTTAAACCAGAGACTAGCCACCTCTTTCAGGTAGAAGGGTACATATTGCAGCTTCGAAGGGTCGTCCCACTTGTTGCTTGCGCCTACCTTTTAAAATCTCGACAGCCAATCTTCGACGTCTTGCTCATCAGTACCGTCGAAAAAAGGTGGATCGCGTACGCGTAGCGCAGTGGGAACAATGACCATCGGAGGCTGGGTCGTACCTTGCTGGATGGTTTCTTCAGCCATGTCTGGGATGGCAGGTAGTTTCCGGTTGCGGAGTTCCACGTTGAGTTACCCCGCACCTCCACCACTCTAGAACGGGGTTTATTGGCACAAGTAGTGCTTGCACAGCAGGTCTATTGATGCGGGAACCGGGCGGCAGGAACCGACGCAGGATACACAACCCTCGGGGCAACAGCTCGCGCTCGGCTCCTCTTCCTAAAGACGTGACCCACTGCGGCACATATTCTTCTTTCTCTCTACAATTTGATGTTCTGCCCAAGAAAAGCGGTAAATTGTATGCTGGAGGCGCTGCGTTAGATTGCCTCGAGCGTGCAGCGGGGGTGAACGAGCGCATCGAGGCACGTTAGACAGAAGTGCAATCTGGCAGTTATCTTTCGAAAACGAAGGCGTGCAACCCACGGAGAAAAATGCGCGCCAGTCTCAGAGGTGACAAGGTGTAGAACGGAAAGCAATGGGCAGTTGCCATCACCGTGACGTCTTAGCAAAGCGTAGAAAACACCTTTTTGAGCTTCCCGTTGCACTGTCAGCGCAGCGCGATAAACGCTACATACCTTAGAGATACTTGTGTGTGCCTCTTCTAGTATAAAGGCAGACGCACAAAACATCAAAGCGTTGTTGTGGCGCCTGAGATATGCGCAATAATCGCTTTTAAAGATGATAGTCTTTCTTGCGGACCTTCAACGGAAAATTTTTTGTCTGTTTTTCTGTCTGTACATTTGTCTGTTTGTCTGCCTTAACGTTACCTCAAACTGAACGAAATGGTGATCCCCATCCGCAGCACCCACCAATATTGCTCAAGGTTTAGCATTCATATTTATTATACAATCGCACAGCTATGTCTGCCTTACGAATCGCGAGAGTGATGGCAGTTGCCTCGGCTGACGCGGAGGATGAGGTAGGTACGTATGGAGGCGGACTTTACCAGTTTACCTTGGTTGACGAAATATATCACCGGTGCAAACATGATAATCCGGACATGGGTGTCGTGTAAAAACTTGACAACATACCACGCTCATAGCGTGCTCGCGGCCGTTTCGCTAGCTCCACATATACTTAATTTTGTATCACGGTACGTGAGTAGATGACAAAGGTGAACGACACATCAAAGCTTCATACTCATGACGTGAAAGTGATATACGGCATCTGTACCTCGACCTCTTAATGTTGTCCTGATTTTGAAGTAACATATAAACATTACTCATTCATGCTTCGCATACCATCGCTTCCCACTGTACATGGGATCTGCCAAGTTTTTTCTGTGTATGGTTTTCTATTACTTTTTTATGTCTGTAGTGATTCGCAGCTAGCCACTTGATTCACACAGTGGCACATGCCCATTAGGGGACGATATATCGTTTTCAGAGATGGACGAACAAAGATTGACTTGGTAAACGACTATCTTGTACACAATGTTAGTAGACGGTATGGTTCGTTTCCAAAAACCCAGGCACAAGGTGGCTAGCGCAGATCTCTACACACTCATCACAGGATTTTTGATAAAAAAAACAAACTGTCATATATGAAAAAAATGAACACAGTACATACTGACAACAATATGTCACAATAGTGTAAAAGATAAAAAAATACTGACATCCATTTCCTGTAAGCATAACACTCAACGGTTCGCTTAGCTCCTTCCGCAGCATCTTTAAGACGTGTCGACTTCAGGCAAAGACATTCATTATGGACCCATGAGTCTACTGACATCATCAGCAATTCGAGGACACCTTGACTTTTCATGAGCTGTAATAACAGACAGGCAACGTTAGCTTTAGATTAACTAAATGGTCAGTGAATAATTCAGAATTTTTCCTTATAGAACGAGACTACGTTACCAGCGCAACCTCTTTGGTCGAAAAAAGTGAAAGAACGAAAAAAAAAACATGTGTAGGAGAGTACAGAATAAATTAAAAACCCGTCTCACCTACGGTCAAATAGAGGCAAGTGAAGTGTGGTATTCCCTTGCCTTCAAATCTAGTTGAATTCGCCTCCTTTTCTTTCGCTGTTTTCTGTTTGCACCTTATTATAGTACTGCGCACTGCTCCTTCCGAAAATTTTCCTTTGCACATGCCGGGACTGGGACCTCTTTTCCCGTAGTTGGCTGCTCAATACTGAGCGGAAGGGACGATTAGCACATGCAGACCTGACTTAGTACTTGTCCTATTTTTTTTCTGTCTAAATGGGAAATGCTTTCTCCAAACATCTCCCTTAATACTGTGAATAGGCCCTTCATTCACGTGCTTATAACGGAATAGCTTAGCTGACACTGCCATCAACAATGGCCATGCCTTCACTTCCGGGCAGCGATACATTAAGAAGCCAAATACGCCGATAAAATATCACATTCACCTATCAAGAACGCGGACAGAAAAAACAAGGCACCGGTCTAAATTCTGTGGCAGCATTGTGTACACTGCGAGTTGCTACAGCCACAAAACAAATTGAAGGTATCAAAATATCAAGGTTAATTACCTAGAATCAAACGTGTTAAAGATACAGTAATGTCACCCGAGAGTCTAAATTGTTATTCTAATGTTACGCGATGCGCTCTAGCCTGTTATTGTTTTGCAAATGTTCGTTGTGAGGGCCTTCAGCTTCGCTAAATCAAAATTTTCTTCTGATCGTTGTACTTTATGTAGTAGGGTAACATAAACACAAAGGAACGTAATCACTAACGCAGAACGTGTCATTGAAAACATCTGTTTGTGGAGTGAAGAAATAACAAGTAGGCAGCAGCAGTTATCATTCCAGTCTGAAAACTTGACTGTTTGTGTAAACGTGGCAGTGTGTGTGTGTGTGCGTGCTGCGTTCATTAACATTATTCGCAGATATAAACGCGCGAGCACTTACTCAAAATGACTGCGTAATTTAGTCAAAATGACTGCGTAACGTCACCGTATATCTGGTCGCTAAACGCTGTCTCGATGCAAGAATGTCCCTCCCGTAATACACAGGCATCAGTGTATTTTGGGCATCAAAATGTAATGTTAGCTATTATGAAAATGTTCAATTTGAAACTATAAATACAAAAATGCACACTGTGGACACTGCGAACGAAGGTTCATTGTTGCTCAGCCCTGAAAGATTTTTATCAATGCACAAGAGCCCTGTAAGTACATCGTCATCATCATCATTATCATCATCATCACATTCAGTCTAACTACGTCCGCTGCAGGACAAATACCTCTCCCATGTTCCGCTAGTCAATTCGGTCCTGTGCTTGCTGCTGCCAATTTATACCCGCGAACTTTTTAATCCCATCTTCCCACCTAACCTTCTGTCTCCTCCTAACCCACTTGACTTCTCTGGGAATCCAGTTAGTTACCCTTAATGACAAGTGGTTATCCTGTCTACGCGCTACATGCCCGGCCCATGTCCATTTCCTCTTCTTGATTTCCACTATCATATCTTTCACCCCCGCTTCTTCCCTAATCAACTCTGCTCTCTTCTTGTATTTTAAGGTTACATCTACCATTTGCATCGTCCTTAATTTAAGCTGAACCCTTTTTGTATATCTCCAGGTTTCTGCTGCGTAATTACATATTGATTGTTTTCTTGAGTGTGATATGCTCAAGGCCACAATGTCGTTAGTGCAAGGTAAGATTTAAAAATGGCCAGGTCAAGAAACCCCATAATAATGTTGATCGACGTCACTAAACGTGCATTCACCGACGAATCGAAAATCTACATCCTCTTGACTTGTTTGTCCAATTCGGAGAGCCCGTTTACACGCATACATATCCATGTTTGTCTTTCGCGCCGTTTTTGTTTTTCTCACCGTGCCTTCCTTTTTACTGTCAATCTTTCAACGAATTTCAGACTTGCTGATATTTCTGATGATGACCGCTAATAATCAAGTATAGCGAATGCAAAGTATTTCAAACACAGAGCTACACACAAAAACTAGGATAAAACCCTTAGAGGAAAAAAAACAATTGGCAGCTGATTTGCAGTGAAGCATGAGGAAGTACACTGCGCGGCCACATAGCAATTACTGTTCTTAGAGTTGCCACTGCTTCGTATACAAATGCGTCAATCACGTACACATTTCAGGTTGAACATGCGTCATTTCCACAGCACAAGTACTCTTTTTAGACATATTTTTGAAGACGGTAAACGCCATGTGCACTCTATGGCGCTGCCCTGTATTGGCTTCTAGTTTTTCAGCAGTTATGACAGGCGTCCTCTGCAGGAAGTTACGTATGATTGTTTGATTGTTTCCACCATGCGGAGTAGTTACATGGTGGTGCAGCGCAATGTCGGTGCATGGCTGTTTCAGAGGTGGTGCAAGTAGGGGACGGGTATTCGTTCGCTCAGAGAGGCGGTGTCGCCCAGACTTTCGCCCTGCTGGAGCCAATTCCACATTTCCAAATTACTTAATGACATGCGAAACCTTTAGAAATCGTTGTGCCAACATCTGTACTTATGATTAGCGTCATTTCATAGCATTTCGTTCATTAAAACTAACGCTGGTTATCTTTGTTAAAAAGCCTTCGCATAGCCTTCGCATGGTACGTGGGATCTGCCGAATTGTTCATTTCATGATTTGTCATTCGGGTCGGTCATACGATAATGCCTTCATGTGATAATTTATTTTCTACCAGCTTAATACGGTGGCTATGATTTTGTTTAAGACAGACAGACAGACAGACAGACAGACAGACAGACAGACAGACAGACAGACAGACAGACAGACAGACAGACAGACAGACAGACAGACCAAACTTAGTCGCACCCACTGATTTCCGCTAGAGTGTGCAGTGTCCATTTGCTAGGCCAAACTTCGACGCGTATTACCTATCTCTGTGTATAGAAGAAAAAACCACGATTTACAGCACAGTGGTCGAAACTTAGCTTTCTTTCACGGTGCTCACAACGCACTTGCGGTTTGCACTAGTGCACTGTGCTGCTCGTCTCCCTTATGTAAAGCTAGCATATCAAACACCACTGCGTATCACAGGAAATCTTTTCGGGTATGAAACGGTCATATCAAACCAAATTTATTCTTGAATAGCGGGGTTACAGCGTGAAAGATATACAGAAGAGGGTCACGAGGTCAAAGTTTTACAAGTTAGACGACAGAAATTGACCTACCTTTGTAGTGCGTTGGTAAATATTACCCGTAGGTGCAGCCCCGTTGCTGGTTGCTGCAACAGTCGCCTTCGCGGATGCTTTAGAGGGTGCATTTCCGACTCTCCTCATGAGTGTTCCACTTTTTATATCTGCACCTATGTGCTCGTGTGCCGCTACCATTCCCACAAAGTAGAGAGAAGTTGTAGAAACAACATGACAAAAATTGATATATAGTTTTGGAGTTAGCAGTGTATTCCAATTTAAGTTTATATGTATGCGGCATTCTTGGACGAACAACATGACAAATTGTTATATTTCTTTTTTACTTTGGCGGTATTGTCAAACATATTGTACAGTAATATTGAAGTTAGTTAAGGCTACAATCACTATGTTTCTTACCCAACCTTCACAACCTCGTCTTCTCAGCTTTCACCAATTTTTAGAACACAAAACAACGGTATGATTATCGGATACTGTGTTGTGGAGAGCTCCACAGCTTCTCACTCTTTCGTGTTTTTGTTCGCCGTGCTTTGACATCGCATGGTACCGGAGTCTCTGCCACTTCACCGTCACTGAAATTGAAACGCCGCGGCCGAGTTTGAACCAGTGAGGTACGGGTAAGCAACCAAACATCTTTTTTATTAATTCACCTTGGAGCACGTTATTGTCAGTAGAGAGCAGTTTACTCAGTATGTAGTCGTAGTGATAAAATGTGCCACGTCGCTCGGCAAGCAACATTTCGTTTCATTGCGGCCTGTGGTTCACGCAGATATTGAAAATGCATATCACATTTAAAAGTGTAATATTTGCTCTATTGAATTTGTAACACGACAACCTGTTTCACCTTAAAGCGCAACCTGAACTTCGCTGATCATGAAAATTCTTGGATAATATCTACAAGTATTTGTTGAAGACTTATTGAACCATAAAAATATTTTGCAATAAGTGCATTGGGCCAAGCTTACTGTCTACCTGCAATGAAGTCATTCCTTTCACTTGGCTTCGATGATCGCATGTATTCAGCGTAAATTAGGATAGAACCATGAAAATTACCTCTATGTCGATGTCCGTCTTACATCCGGAATCATTCATCATGCAAGTAACGTTCAGCGTACGTTCTACGTGTACTTTTTCAAAAAGTAAAAGCTTTTGTGCCAAAAACTTTTAAGGCAGGCACGCCAATAAGTGCGCGCATTATCTTTAAAAAATATACTATTGTCGGAGCATCTGCGCTTTTAATGGAAACGTCGTCCGAAGACTATAATACTCTGCCGGCCGTAGTACATGGGTCCTGGTATCATCCGCGACCACTGTAAATTCTGTTCTTGAACCAGTTTTTTCCTCTCACGATAACTGCGATGAAGGTTTGTTTGAACAGGTTTAATATTACTACATTATTACAGTTGACATATCATGCGTATGTGCCCCCACAACATGTCAACAATATTTTAGTCGCGTGTGGTACTCTGTAGCATGATAGCTTGCGAAGAAAAACCAATTGTGACAGTTCATGTTATTTTATTGTGTTAAAGTTTGTGCGTTGAAATTCAGGTTTATGTGTGAAGTTTATACCGCTGAGGCACCGAAGTATATGCCGCCAGCCAAACTTGGCAGCACCATATGGTCAGAAGAGTGCTTCTTCGTGTAAAGCGTCACATTTTGAGCGCAGCGGAAGAAACACAAGGGTCTTTAGAATTACATATGCATGAATTTTCTACTGAAGCGACACGCCACGCAATATTCACGTATTGGTTTTGCGGCTCAGACGTGCGCAAACTTGCTTTTTTGATCGACAATGTTCACAAGTATGAATCCAGCCACCAGTTTAGTGTGGCTGGGCATTGAGAGAGTGCTAAGACTTTGGCTACGTGGCTGAGTTTTGTGACAAATTGACGTACAGACACACCACAATTTCTGCCCTCATCCCAAGAAAGGCTGTATTCTTCAAATAGGAAGTACTCTACGCTGTAAAAAACTAGCGTAGAAAATTTTCTATTTTGAAGAATACAGTATGTGGCCTCTGTTGAGGGCAAGTATGTTAACGCTTCCGAACTACGTACATGACGTCTAGTCTTTTTCAGACCCGCGTCAATCTTAGCTGGCAATCTAGTAACCTAACGCTATATACACAGCTCGTGAGAATTAAACTGAATTTTGGCAAATAGGGCAATAATGTAAATTATAATGAGCATTGCTCTGCTTACCACACTCTTCATAGCGCACGCATTTTCCATCCATTGCTCGAAAAAGCCTGCTGCACGCGCATCCAAGGGTACTTCCTCGAAAACATATGTACTGTGAATTGTTTTCAAAGCCCGGGCAATATCGTTGATATAAACGCTGGCCACCCCAGCAGAATCTAGGTACTTCATTTATCCAGTCTGCACATGCTATATGAAGAGAAAACGAGGCTTTAGTAGGTAAACTGCACATCTGAGCAGTTCGTCAAAGTAAGTAAATTTTGCTTCCACAAGTTCATAGATATGCCACTGTGCAATGAATGAGAGTGAAAATGTTTCCATTTGACACATCTTTCTTTTCTTGACATGCATTTGTAAATACTGCTTCGCATAAAAACAAGTCTTAAGAAGTTTATTTTTTTTGCAAGTACCAGCAGCACTTTCGCGTAATACGTAAAGTAACATAAACCAGAAAAAAATACGATAACTACGCAAACAAGATGAACATTTAAAAAAGTTCTCTCACAAAAAAATACGATAACTGCGCAAACAAGATGAACATTTAAAAAAGTTCCTCTCACTGTGACAATATTTCTCTAAAGGATGTTTCAATGCAGCAGTCAGAAATTTTCTGTGAAAGCTCATGGACTTGAATGTAACCATTATACAGAAGATTGTCTGGTTGAGTATTAAACTGGGAGATTCCTCTAAAAGATTAGGCATGCGGAAACGAGTGTTGGTAGACTTTGCTTCTCGACAATGTTTTATTTCTAGAGAGCGATAATTTTTTCTGGAAAAAATATGATAATCAATAGAAACATATAATCTCTTACACATGCTGTAAAATATTTAGAAAAGCATTTCAAAAGTCACATTTGAGGAGCTTGCTCGGCAAGATTTATTAGTAGGATTAAGATAAGAGAAATTAAGGGGAAAGCAACGTATCTCTTGAATTTTGAAAGCAAGAAAAAAAACATCTGTTTTCCCGAAAGGGCGAAGCAGATAGCGCGATAGTAGCGTGTCTAAATGTTATTTATTTACAGACACTGGCATAATAGTTTTCGAGACATAACAGGTGTAAATGAAACTGTTCAGCACTTTTAAAAATGCAATTTGTCAAAATACATGTTTATGCTAGTCTTTTTCTCAATTCCTCAACACGAAACTCTATCGCAGTTGCACATCAAGCTCACTCCAAAATGAACGTTCTGTGGAAACGCAAAAAAACAAAAACAAAAAACGAAGAAAGGAAAACGAGAACAAATATTAATTGCTCTAATGGACAGAGTATTTAGGGGTCAAAAAACCGGATATAGTGTGCAGAAGAGACAACAAATGATATTGGCGCTAGAAGATTCAAACCAGTGTGAACTATCTTATTTATGCAGGAAGATGACTCGATTGCAAGTGCGCCCTTGTTCGAGGGGGTTTCAGCGATAAAACATGCTCATGCGAAGTAGGCAGGAAACGCTGCTCACCGCGAAGTAACTTAAGCAGTATTGCTTTTTCAAACAGATTGTATAATACTTATTTCATGTTGTGGTGAGTTCAACAAACAACATACGCATATTGGAGTCTGACTGAAGTCTTATGCGCTGTCAGTCAGCAGTCTTTTGTCGAGCAGTTTAACGTGCATCAGAGGCACTGATGTTTTTGAACAGCTTGTTGCAGATTGTTTCGACGTGCTTGTGTCATCTTAAAATTGTTTTGAGAGCTATATATCACCCATTAGACTTACAGTGTCAGTATCAAATATAAAATGAAGAAGCTCTCTCTTATTTGAAAAAGTTGTGACTGGTGTCTTTATGTTTGTTTGTTATGTTTCTCTGCTGGTAAAAAACGATTAACAAAAAACACTGTTCAGTGAATCCTAATCTTGAGTATCAGAGATGGTTTTGCAGATAACGCATGTCGTCTGCATCTATTCCAACTTCAATTTGAGTTGCGCCAATAATTTTCTCCGCCTAGTTTACAAATAATGAACAAAATAGGACTAAAGACCGAGCCTTGCGGTCCGTTTCTGACGTGGCATATGAGTCAGATAAATTAGTGTGGGTAGACGGGCCAAATTTTAAGTGCGAGGGCAAGATATATGCTATTTGAGCAGCCGGCTTTCTGTCCGCAAAAACATTGTGAAGAAGCTAAATGTTTCGGATGGCAAACCATGCCAAAGACCTTCAAATGATAAATAAATATGACATCAACCAGTTTTCAATCGTTACGGGAAACAATGCCGTGCGCAAGTTGAAGCAACTGTGTAACAATGGAATGACCAGCCCGTTAGATGTGCTGCGTACGTAAAAGTATACTGTGTGCATTTGGGTATGATACAATTATTTTGGTAATGGTATGGTCCAAAGATTTAGAGCTTGTAAAAAGCAAATATATAGACCTATATTTAGCCTAATTAACTTGTTCCCAGGTTTGAATACTGGCACAACGTTTGCTAATTTTCGCATCTAAGACCTGCTAGAAATTTCGATTTTGAAATTGTTACAGTGAGATGATCCGCGATTCATACTGAATAGCTCTTTAGAAACCTAATTGGTATACCACATTGTCAGATCATTTCAACACCTTTAAATTTAATGTAAGGTGACGTACTCCGGAGAAGCATCATTCAAGATTATAAATAGCAGAAAGCTTGCTGCACGCGTAAAATGAACGAGTAAGGTCGTTGTTCACTGAAAAAAAAATAATTTCAAATAATTCTACAGACATTTGTTCTACATTCGGGATTTGAGGAGGATCGCCCATCAAATATAAAGGGTAAGAGCCTAAATGATGCGGGACTAATTGACTCCTATAATTTGTCGTGAAATATTTTACAGCACAACGGGTTAAATACGGACAGAGAAGGGACACAGTGCTGAACTCTCAACTGAAATTTATTTGAAAAAATAAAGAGCGTAAATATATATATATATATATATATATATATATATATATATATATATATATATATATATATATATATATATATATATATACATATATATA